AAGACAGACTGGGCAGAAAAGTTGATGAGACTCTTATTTTCAATTAACCACCAGAAAACCAGCAGTGGTACTGTGGCTCAAAGTAGTAGAACACTAGTCTTGAGCTGAAGAGATCAGGGACAGGGCCCAGGCCCTGAGTTCAAGCCCCACAATGCACATAGCTAAGAAAATCCTCCTTTGTTCTCACTGTGGGAATGCTTACAGTGCTGTTTAATTAGTCAAGTCCAAATGTAACTATTTGTCCTTTCTCATCCATTGGATTAACTTGTAGATTTCTAGACATATTCTAGTTATTACAAATGAGGGAAACCATGCAGCCTATGTTTCTTTGGATCTGGCTTACTTTGCTTAATGATTTTTTTCCAAGTCTTTCCATTTCTTTACAAATGGGGTAATACATTCTTTCTGAAGGAAGCATAGAATTCCATTGTGTATAAATACCACATTTTCTTGATCCATTCATTCACTGAGGGGTATCTGGTCTGATTCTGTATCTTTGCTTTAGTAAATAATACTCCAAAGAACCATGGTTGTGTTGGTGGCTTTAGTGTAGCCTGGTTTATGGTCATTTGTATAAATACCCAGGAGTGGGATTACTGGGTCATAGGGAAGCTCTACATTTAATATTTTGAGGAACTTCCATTCTGCTTTTCAGAGTGATTGAACAAGTTTACATTCTCACCAACAGCATGGTAGCATTCCATTTTGGTCACATTCCCACTAGAATCTATTATTATTACTTTTCTTGATAATGGACATTCTAACTGGGGTGAGGTGGAATCTCAATATTGCTTAGATTTGTATTTATTTTATGGCCAGAGATGTTGAAGATTTCTTCATGTGTCTATTGGCTATTCTTATTTCTTCTTTGGAGAAGTCTCTCTTTAAGTCTTTAGTCTCCTTATTAATGGGATTGTTGTCTCTTTAAGAACTCATTTTGGGGGTATTTAATTTTTTGAGCCCTAAGTATATTTTAGATATGAAGCTCTTCTCTGATGCATAGCTAGTAAAGATCTTTTCCCCTTCTGTGAGCTTTCTATTTATCTTGCTAGCTATGTCCTTTGCCTTACAGAAACTCTGAAGTTTAATGCAGTCCCGTTTATCCAGCCTTTCTTTGATTTGTTGTGTTTCTGGATCTTTACGTAGGAAGTTTTGATATGTGCCAAGGAGCTTTAGTGTTTTCCCTAGCCTATCCTATAATATTTTCAAGGTATCTGGTCTTACATTGAGGTCTTTGATCCATTTCGAATTGATTCTGGTGCAGGGTGATATATAAGGATCTAACTTCAGTTTTCTGCAGGTGTATTCTACATTTCTAGAAGGTTCTTATCATCATGGTGGGATAACGGTCCCATAAACAAGTTTCTTGAGGTTTGTACAGATTAGTTAAGATGCGAACATTTTCTAATTGCTTTGTATGGTAGAAACCAATATTTTTCAGAATGCTGTTATTCTACTCCTGTAAAGACTTTTTCTTTATTGTCACATTCATAATGCTAATACTTACCTGTGTAAGTTGTCCTTGTTGTAGAAAATGGAGGCTGTACCTACCAAAGGTGGTTTTAATATTATACAGTCAAACTCTGGCTTTTCCTTCTGATGTTGCAAGCCATTTTGTTTTTTTATTATACATAGCCACATGGTCTCTTTAAGATGCTGCTGAGATTGTAGCCCAAACATCATAAACAATAACAGTTTAAAATGAGAAAAGGTGCTTCCTGGAGCCCCTGGTTGGCTTGCTTTTCCATCTTGTAGTTCTCTTCTAGACTCCAGAACTGAAGAAACACGTTTCTGGTCTTCAAACATTACCCATTCTCTGGGATTCTATTATAGCCTGAGGAGATGGATGAAGACAGACTTTGGGATGGCAAGTAATGGAGGATAGGTTTGATCGAGATTGGAAAGGGTAGGTTAGTCAGGGTTAGGGAATATCATGAAGAATGGCTAAGCCATACAGGCCACGAACAAAAGGCGTGAGTATATTGGAAAACAGAGACTGGTTGAGTTATTTATGATTTCGGAGCCCTGGGAGGAATGAGGGAGAGATTGTTGCATGTTTTCTTCCTTTGCCTTCATCCTGTGCCCTCCGCTAGAAAGTGAGTCCTCCTGTTCGTCTCTGGCACAGAGCGTCAGTCATTAGGGAGGGAGGTTCTAACTCTCAGCAAGGGCAGCTTCGGGTAGAACTCTGCTGTTAGAGGATTTTAGAGAGTTTAGTGGTTCCTGCCAGAGGTCTTGTCCAAATCCTGAGGTATCTGCTAAATGCTATGTTTGGGAGGAATCCCAAATAGCTAAGAAGGAGGCAGGAGGGGAATTCCTCTCTGACCCTAGGATACAAAATCCACTCTTGCTCAGGATCCTGCAGTTTAATTACCCACATTGTTAACTTGCCTTGCTGCAACTGGCTTAGACTTGTCAAAGTATCTGGTCCTTTGATACACAGTCACAGCCTGGTGACCTCCTGCTAATTAATTGGGAAGGGTGGGAACTAGGGAAATCCTTTCCCCTCCCTTCAGTTCTGCCAACTTGGCTTTGAACCTCTTGAGTATTTTGGCCAGAGAATGTGTGTTCCCCAGGACCTCACCCTCCCTCTGCCCCCACCTCTGCCCCTCCCCACATTCTGTGAGCTCTTTGATAATCCCATACATTCACTTTGTGAAATTAATTTTGACCTGACCTTTTTTTTTTTTAAAATGTGTGCTGCCCTTGGAAGGCATCTGGCTAATTTATCTCATCCTTCCTTGAGCTTCTGACCATAAAACAAACGGCTCTGAAAATTCACCATTGCTCTAAAATCTTGAGGAGGGTTTCTTTCCTTATTCCTACCAGGATGTAAATGATTGTTTATCTTTCTTAAACCATTGAAAAGGAGAGAGAATGGAACTTTTGAGGTAACTCCAACCATTTAAAAAGTGCTTCTTTTCAAAGCAAACTTGAAAGGAAGTCTTTGTAGGGGATTTTTTTTTCAGTCCTGGGTGCATTCATGATCATTTGGGGCATGTAGAAAGAGAAATATTCAGTTTCCTAGACAAAGGTTTTTTTTTTCCAGATTTTTCTTTCCCTTCTAGAGAGCCACAAACTTAAATGAACCATTTACGGCATAATCTCCTTTACTCTGAATTTGTCTTTCTTCCTCTTCTACACCAACCTCCTCATAGATTATTTCTCTGACAACCCTCCGTCCTCATAATTTTATTTAGTTGCTCATACCTGGGGAAGGAAGGTAAATGGACATGAGCAAGAAATTGAGCAGACTGGGTCCCAATTCTATCTTTGCCTCTTACCTCTGTGTGCCCTTGAATAGCATGTGTAAGGGCTCTCATTCTATGAGCCTGACTTCTGACAGCATTGTTTGGTTTGTGTTGTTTGTGGATTTTATCTAAATGGAGCAATACAACTTACATTCTTTTGTTTTTGACTAATGTTTTTTGGTTTGGGTTTTACCTCTATTATTGACTTCTTTAACTCAATGTGTTTGTGGAGATTTTTTCTGGTTCATACTTGAAATAGTTTATTCAGTCAGGCTCATAAGTTCCTGGGTTTGGACATTTATTTGTGCTTTTTCCATGATAAGAAATCAAGAGTTAATGATCATGCTTATAGAACCTCACATTCAGATTGTGGAGTAACATTACATGCTGGGTCCTCAGGAAACGTGGAGAGGTATTTGCTTGATTTCTTTCCACCTTCAAGGTCTAAGTTGTGTTGAAGATCAACCCCATGTTAGCCAGCTTCCTATTACAGTAACAAAATACCTGAGATAAAGCAACTTTGAGAGGAAAGGTTTACACTGGCTCTCTGGTTTCATTACACGTTCAGTTGGCCGTATTGCCTCTGGGCCTCGGGTAATATGGCCAACTGGTAGACATCCTTGATGAAGGAAGCTGCCCTCCGTCATGGCAGCCAGAAAAAGAGAGAGAGAGACAGACAGACAGACACAGAGACACAGAGAGAAAGAGGAACCACAATCCCTTTGAGGGCATGCCCCCAGATGACATAAAACCTCCCACTAAGCTCCACTTCTTGAAGATTGCCACCACCTTTGAATAGCTGTAAGCTGAGGGCAAAGCAACCTTTTATACATGGGCCTTTGTGGGGCATTTCAGATCCAAACTATAGCAGAGGACCAAAGAAAAGATCAGAGAGAAGAGGAATTGGACTGCAATGGGTTCATAACAATGCCCCAGCCAACCAGTGGGGAGCTTTAGGGCCGAACTGGCCCTATGGAGCTGTACCAGAAGGAGGAAGGAGGTCAGATCTTTGAACAGCTGCACTGACCAGTCATTGGATGTGCACTAACTTAGAGATAGGAACATGACTTTAAGGGAGACATCTCATATAGGCAGAGAGCAGAGGCTACATGTAGGAACTGCCAGACATTCTCATTTTTTGTAATAGATATTACAGCCTCAAAATGTCTAAAGTGTGTTTGTATGAGGCAAGAGGATGAATCTGAATGGTGCACCCAAGTGTCTACTCCATATAATTTCTAAGAATTGAATTACTGCTTCATAGGTAATAGGCATGTTCATTTTTGGTAGACATTATTAAGCTCTATTCTAATACGTTGGTACCTGAATACCACTTCAATGTAGATGCTGATGCCCCAAAACTGAGCTCTTATTATAACGATAAAGAAGACTTAATAGAACAGGAACACCTGTGAGAATATTTTATATATCAATTATATATATATGTAAGTATATATGTAAATTAAATCATACACAATCATATATAAAATTATATATTCATGTTTATATGTACATATGAATATATATTACATATAAATATATAATTATATATTAATTATATATAATTTTTTGTATCCTGGAGGAAAGCAAAGTTGGCTATTTATCATTCTCTAACTTATAGTTTGGCTTCCTGAAAACACTGTTTGAGTTGTTCTGAGATCTAGTCATGGGATTAGCAGATCCTAGTGTGCTGAGAAAACAAAGAAAATGAGGTATAGGAATTGACTATCGCTTCAAATTTCATGTTTTCAGAGTGGCCAAATCCATGAAGGTCCCTGTGTACGAGACCCCAGCCGGATGGAGATTCTTCTCAAACCTAATGGACTCGGGACGGTGCTCTCTGTGTGGAGAGGAGAGTTTTGGCACTGGTAGGTTTTGTTGGGTTGTTGGTATTAGGGAAAGTGAGTGCAGTAATGTGAGCCTCCACATCTCCTCTGGAGATGTACAAAACTTTTATGAATGATTGGAGGCAAACAAACAAACCCCGATACCTCTGACACTCACTTCTTTTGGGCAATCTTTTAAGTTTTTTCTTTCTTAAATTTTTTTCTGTTATGGATTTTTTAAAGTACATACATAGTCAGGTGTTGGTGGCTCATGCCTATAATCCTAGCTACTAGGAGGCTGAGACTTGTTTGATGCCAGCCCAGGCAGGAAAGTTTGTCAGACTTTTATCTCTGATTAACCACCAAAATGCCAGAAGGGGAACTATGACTCAAGTGATAGAAGTCTAGCCTTGAGCAAAAAAGTTGAGGGACAGCACATGGGCCTGGAGTTCAAGCCTCTGGATTAGCACAAAGCCCAAAACAAACAACAACATGTACAGGTAGAGAGAGTATATCGAATCCCTGCTACCTGTGACCCAATTTCAACTTTCATTAACTCATGGTCAGTCTTTGTTGTTGCTGTTGTTATGATTATTGTTATTTTGTAGCACTATAACATTACACTCAGGATGTCACATGTGCTAAGTTACTACTCTGTTACTAAACACTGAGCACTTTTATCCCCAGCACTTTTGAATTACCTAGGCTGGTCTCAAATTGATAGTCTTCATACCTCAGCCCCAGAGCAACTGGAATTAAAGGCATGTGTCTGCTGTCATTTCTTTATTGCTTTTTGGAATTCACAGTCAATCCTGCCTTATTTCTATCCTCTTTTTCTAAGGGAACCCTCCTCTCTGATTGATGTGAAGCATTACCCTGCAGCTTAGGATATTCACCTTGAACATTTCAATGTGATTTTTTAAAAATAAATAGGTTCTTCTGAAAAAAATATAATCATGATACCATTATCATATTTAAATGTTAAAAAAATACATTTTTTTAGTACTTGAAAAATACCATTTCATTGTCTTCAGGCTAACAGTTTCCAAGAAGTCTGATATAATTCCTCTTTTTTAAAAAACATCTATTAGTTGTCCAAGAGGGTTTCATTGTCACATTTCCACACAGGCATACAATGATGAACCTTCTTGAACCTCAGTCCCTGTCCTCTACCCACTCTACCTCCTTAAAACAATTTCAGCAAGTTTCCTTGTTTTGTTTTCCTTCATGCAGATAAACGACTCTGAGTGTATTGGTCCTCATTAAACCTCTTCCTTAGCTCTCTTCCAAACTACTGGCACCCCCACCCTACTTCTGAGTCTGTTTTACTCTCTTGTCATTCATCTTTAGGATTATTTAATGACTTTTTTTGTTTTTATGGGATACCAAGGAATTGAACCCAGGGCCTCACGTATGCTAGGTAAGCACGCTACCACTAAGCCACAATGCCAATCTCCTAGTTTTGAGTTTTGACACTTCTATTCTCCTTTCTAATTTGATTGGCATTTGCATAAAAACTATTAGTAGGTTTTAAAATTAGCCTGCATCCCCCCTAGTTAGTTCATTCTGTTACAAATTATAGAGTTTTATTTTCTAAAACAGTTTGCAAAAGTATAGTCATGACACATGACTAGAAGATAAAATCTTTGACTGTATTTCTGTATACATACAGAATAGACATGGATGTACATTTAGACATAGAAAATATGTGGAATCGGGGCTGGGAAGGTGGCTCAGTGGTAGAGTGCTTGCCTTGCATGCATGAGGCCCTGGGTTCGATTCCTCAGCACCACATAAGCAAAAAGAAAAAAGCCAGAAGTGGCGCTGTGGCTCAAGTGGTAGAGTGCTAGCCTTGAGCTGAAGAGCTGAGGGACAGCGCCCAGGCCCAGAGTTCAGGTCCCACAACCAGACCTCCCCCCCAAAAAAAGAAAATATGTGGAATCTATGACTGAAAAAGTTGTATTTTTCCCACTATTGAATACCTTTTATTTTATATTATCTTATTGTATAACTACCATCTTCAAATGATATTAATAACTGTGAGTGTTCACATTTTTAATGGAAATGAATTTAGTATTGTACTGTTTGCTTTTTAATATTAGTAAAATATCATATTTATGTAGATAATTTTTTCTATTCATATTTAACCACGTCTTATTAGAAATGACTTTAGGGTTCATTAGACATCCTGTGGAATTTGGTGACATATTTTGCTCTTTGATTATATAAACACATGCATATATTTTTCTCTTTCCTTATATAAGTTTAATGAAATGTTTCTGACATTCAATGTTGAATCATTCCAGAATTCCTAAGAATAAATCCTTTTTTTCCCCTAAGAATAAATTCTATCTGGTCAGACCTAAACTGAATCCATTTAAAATGATTTAGATAGAATGACAGTGTTCCATATTGAAGTTCATGAAGGAATTTCTTCCTGAGATATTTCCTTCTCTCACCCAAATGAATTGCATCTTAGCAGTATTACTGTGAGGAGCTCAGAAGGGAAAGCATGCATCTGTGTTTCCTTGGACAGAAAGAGACCAGAGCAAGCTCTCTTAAGTACTACTGCCTGAATTCAGGATGTGTTGAGGGCAGCTCTGTCTGGGACAACATGGAGACAGGAGAGAGGTAGGTCCTGCCAATGGGAGGGAATGAGCAGGGCATTTGATGTAAGCAACCAGTTATTCAGGACTTCTTGAATCATAGTTTTCCAAACAAGGATTGTGACTCATTTGAGAGATCAGAGCATATTGAGCTTAGCAAAGATATTGTTTGGAAATTGTGTGTGTGTGTGTGTGTGTGTGTGTGTGTGTGTTATTGGCAAAATGTATTTATTGCAGATCATGGTCAGAAAGTCTGAAAAGCATGGGTCTGTAGCAAAATTTGCCAAGTTGTTCCCATAAAAAGAAAGATGGCCAGATGTAATCCTAGCTATTCAGGAGGTTAAGATCTGAGGATTGTGATTCGAGGACAGCCTGGACAAGAAAGTTGCTGAGACTCTGATCTCCAATTAACTAACCAAAAAAGCTGGAAATGGAGTTGTAGGTCAAGTGATACAATACCAGACTTGAGAAAAAAAAAAAGCTAAAGACAACTCCCAGGCTCTCAGTTCAAGCCCCAGACAGACACTGAAATTAAATAAATAAACATATAAATAAATGACAAGATGGTGAATATTTTAGTCTTGATTAACCACAGGGTCACATAGAGTCTCTGTTAAAATGGGGTATGTGAATGTGATTGCAGATTGCAGTTCATTATAGTCGTGTGTATAAACAGAATAATGCAACTCATTGAAATGGTAAAAAAAAAAAAGAGGGAAGAAAAAAGAGGTAAGAAAGAGCAATGAAAGGATGAATATGATCAAAGCATATTATGTACATATGGATGGATAGATCATAACGAAAGCCCTTTGTACAATTAGTATAACAATAACAATGTTTTAAAAATAACAATGGTTTAAAAATTATTCAGCACTGCCCCTGTAGAGCAAAAGCAGCCAGGGCTGATACATAAACAACAGAGCCTGGCTGTGTTCCAATGAAATGTTCTTCGGCACAAGTCCAGATTGGGCCCAAGGGGCTGTAATTTGATGGACAGGGTGGGATGAAGGAGAAAGTCTCAAGAAAGTCACGCTGGGGGAGAGGCCACCTTGCAAGCCCTTTTCAACAACTCTGTTTTCAGACAGTGATGCTGACTGTACGAAGGCTGGACTGTCCAGGATGTATTTTTTTAATTGTTTCTCATTTGTAGTTGCTTATCATTTTCCTTTCAAAGAGCACTAGAGATTCTTCAATGTAGAGACCTTAAAAAGTAGTACCTCCTCTGCCAATTGGCATGTTCAGATGCCTTAAGCCTAGTTTGATGGATGAACGCTCACAGCCCAAGGAATCCTTGAAGAAGTCTCCCAGAGCACCTCAGCCTGGAACCGGACTCCATGTGCAGTAAATCACAGCAGAACTGAAAGGCAGGTCCACACGACCGTGGATGCTGCTTTTCATTTTGCTGGTCAGTCTTTCTGACTCTTTCCGTCTCAAGTTCTCCACCGTAAATGACCCAGAGTCTGTAGGAATTGGCTCACTCAGTCTCCAAAACAGAGATGGCTTCTTTCTATTCTTGTGCCTGATTGTGGAGAGGCTCCAAGCTGGCTGTCAGAATTACAGAGGAACTTGTTGACAGTACAGATTTTCTCTGCCAGGCGTGGTAATACTTGCTACTTAGGAGGCAGAGATCGTAGATGGGTTTGAACTCAGGCATAAAAAGAGTTCATGAGACTTCATCTTAACTCAATGGCTGGTGACTGTGGTGCATACCTCATCCCCAAAATAATAGGAGGAATGCAGCTCAAGCTTCCTAGGGAATAAAGTTAAGACTCTACTTGAAAATCACCAGTGCCAGAAGGGGCTGGAGTTGTGGCTCAAGTGGTAAAACGCCTGCCTAGCAGGCATGAGGCCCTGAGTTCAGTCCCTAATACCACAAAAAAACCCAAAAACCCCAAAAAGTAAAAGTAAACACATATTTTGTGTTCCAGTCCACCTTTGAATCTCTGTCTGTGTGGAGCTTGAGTCTGCATTTTAAATATGCCACCTCAACCACAAACACCATTGCTCAAGTGAATACCAGTATTTGGCTTTTCTCCAGGATTGGTAGCAGGTGTGTGCCTGTGTCCCCCATCTGTCTTTCCCCAAGCACAGTGCAGAGGTACAGGAATGTTGGAGAATCGGAAGGAGTGATGATCCACATCAATGCACATGCCTGCCCATCACCAGCCACCCACCTAGCCTCTCTGACAGTTCTAACTTGGAAAAGTCAGCTGGTGATAGGAGCTATCTATCTTAAAGATGCATTCTTTTCAGAGTCAAATGAGCTCGTTACAGAAGAAGAAATAGAGAGATAGAAAGATCCTCACTCAGAAACTAGCGAGAAACTTCTAGAATGTACGCACGTGTCTCCAATGGGACTGTTTCTAGTGTCCTTGAGGTATGGCATCGTGTATGCACTAACTAGGAATGCATAGAAGTGCCAAGAACATTTGGAAA